TCAGGGGTCTCTTATCACACTAGAGCACACATCGGAGTGGAGCGAGCACCACAGCACCATCTAGTGTAAGAGCCGACTATACTAGTGGTGCGAGCGCCACAGCGCCATTGCCATAGCGGTGGCTACATCAAACAACAATGGTAGACTAGCCTACGCCTCATAGGGACCTTCGAGGCTGCTCGGCCCAGAACCCCACAGGGAAGACGTGGAGCCAGACCAGGAACCCTCTTTATTTAGCGAAACCTGGGCCACAACTGCCCGCTGCCATGTGCCACAAGAACACCCGTGATCGTCGTCCTCCTCTCTTTTCTGTAGTCGGCAGGCTCGCGGCCGCTGCTCCCATACTACCCCCTGTCCTTCGGCGAAAGTGGAGAGAGGGACGTGATGGAGTAGCTGCTAGCCCTGACCACGACGGACTGCACGTGGTGCACAAGCCCACATGCTGGCGCAGTCAGCCCACAACTTCATGTTGGACCTCAGAAGCTTCCAGCTTCTCGTGCTGTTCTTGTAGGTCCCTCCGCCTTAAAGGCTGGCCTGCTGCTTGGTGCGCGAGGTGGAAGCGCCAGAGTGTACACACTTGTCATCGTCCTTTGAACCTTTGGCTCCAGCACCATTCCTGTCTTGCTTTAGTTTTCCTTGCCTGACGAATTCTTCGACCTTCACTTGATGCTTCTTATCCTTGAAGTGCCTCTCGAGCTCGTCGCCGTAAATGAGTGCCAATGTTTTGCAGATGCCATTTTGTGTGGTTGGCGCATTGCATTCATTATCAACGCCATCAGTCTGAGCACCGTCTTCCGCGCTGTAGTCCTGCATATCACGCACCGTCTCGTCATGCACTGCGGGGTTGTCCGTGACGTGATGCTCCCCTCTACCACCTTCAGCATGTTCAGCATGTTATCAGCATTGTCCACGTCATAAACGACCTCTCCATCATCGGCGTCTAGGCATCTCATGTCCTCGTCGCACTGGGCATCTTGCGGTGTGCCGTCGTGCTCCTTGTAATACTCGACTTCATCGTCGGCAGCTGCTTTCCAGTTTTCAGCGGCTTCTCCCTCCACGCAGACTTCTCCAGCGTATGCATCAGTTATCTCCTCCTCACGATCTCGAAACTCTACGGCCTCTTTCAGGACCGGTAACTCGTCGATAGCTTCACCGTAGTGCTCACTAACCTCCTCATCGCAATGCTGAGACTCTTCGACATCTTCCTCAATGATCTTCTTCTCCACCTCCCTGAGCTCCTCACCTTTCGCATTCTCTGCACCTTCGTTAACGCACCCTTCGTCGTCCTCTGAAACCGCCTCATAGCCAACCTCTGTCGCGTGTGTCGTGCTGTCTAGCTTCCCTTCAGTGTCTTTCTGGGCTCGGCAGCCATAGAGTCCTCCTCTTTGGCAGCGCTGTTGGGGTACTCGTCTGCTGCCTCCCCATGAAAGTGCTGTCGTAATGATGACTTTTCCTGTTCCTTTTTTTCCTTGCCCTCTTCTTCTTCTTCGCCTTCTGAATCTCCTCGGTTGCTTCAGTGACTACTCCTTCTGAATCTGCAACATCGCCGCGTCGCGCGGCGTATCTACACACAGCATCCGCCACTATGCCAACGGCACCGACATCCTGCTTGCTTGTCCGGCCCTCACCAGTGTCGTTCTTGCTACCTCGGAGGTCCTCGGGTTCATTCACGAAGAGCTCTGCTACCGTTGCTGTGGACTTCACGGCGTTCACGTTCTCCGAGCCCGCGGTAGCGCATGCGTCATTGCCACTTTCGTGGTTGTCCTGAGGTGCCTTCATGGCGGACGAGCCCACCGCATCATGTGCCCCGCCTGCACTCCCCTCGGCTCTCTCAGTCTCTCTCAGTCTCAGCAAGCATGGAGTTCTCCCCCTCTGCTACGTTGTTGAGGTGCTTGTCATCCGCACTGTGGTTCTTGCTGGGCCTCGGCGAGCCGCCTCTGTCATCCCGGGACTTTCTAACCTTGTTTCGGGTTGTGGCACACTCGATGGCGAACGATTCGCCGCCACCGCGTCGCTTGTGTCGCGGTGCCACCCTATCAGACGAGCTCCCCACGCCCTCCAAGGCCTGCGCGGGTATCGGGATGTCGATGTAAGAACAGAAGTACTGACACGCTACGTTGACACGCCGCAGCTCATCAGAAGGTTGTGGCTCATAGCGCTGTTCCCAAAAGACGGCCTTCTCAACTTTCCGAGCACAGCGGGCTAGCTCCTCGAGGGAAGGGAAGGAGCAGCCCAGCAGGTGTTGCTGGAAATGGGGTGGCATCACCGCATAACGTGGGAGACCTCTCCGGTCTCAGGAGCTGTGGGGTCCGCCTAACGGAAGGGCTCCTGCATGGCCTGAACATTATCGCGCAGACCCTCCACTGGATGTTGCATTTGGGCGTCGAGCTCACGCCGGATACGGTAGTCGTAGGCGACCGGCAGGAAGTCTTCCCGGAATGCCGCGACGAACTGGTTCCAGGACTGGAAGGGAGGTTAAAGACGCCGCCTCTGAAAGCACGATGGACTCTGAGAAGCCGCTAACGGTTGAGTACACGAAAAGATTGTCAATGAAGTCGAGGACCGATTTCCTCGCATCTTGACCGGAAAAAGTGGGCACGGTCAGCGGCGTCATCAGGGCTATGGTAGTGGACTGCTAGGTACCTCAATGTAAATGGCCCAGGGGCAGGGTTCTTCCCATTGGGCGCCAAATGTAGGGGGCTTCAAGGCTGCTCGGCCCAGAACCCCGCAGGGAAGATGCGTAGCCAGACTGAGCACCTTTTTTATTGACCGGAACCCGAGCCACAACTGCCCGCTGCCACCCTCTGTCATGTGCCACGTGTGCACCCGCGATCGTCGTCCCCTCTTTTAGGGGCGAAGCTCCTTAAAGTGGCACCTGTTCGTCCCTCGTCTAGCCGTAGTGCGTAACCAGTCTTACGCTTTGACCTGCAAGGTGGTGTCGGTGGGAGATTTCTCCTGTGCGTTGTTGAACAAAAAAAAATTCGCAGTGTGCGCGTTAACTAAAAGCCGATAGGTTATACTCGCTGGGTGTAACCTCCTTGGTTTTAGAAAGGTTTAGCGAGCGTTGGGCCGCAGTGCCATGAATACAGTGAGCTAGTATATACCATGAACTCGAGGTGGTTAAAAGTGGGAAGCAGACACGAAGCGCAAGCCGTAAGAAAGTGCGCGTGTGCCACCTCTCGTTTAGTCCCTGGAATGTCCGCTGAATGGCGGTGCTTCTATATGCGGAATATATGATGAAAAGATGCGAGATGGTGGTACTTGGAGTGTCGACTAGATGGACGAGCGGACACACAGACATATGCATGGACGGACGCGTGGATGGCTGCACGAACGGATGGATGCATGGACGGACGCAGGGACGGACGCATGGATGGACGTGCGGATGCACGAACAGACGTACGAACGGACGGATGGACGCACGGACGGTCACACAGACGGACGCATATATAATGAAAATATGCGAGATGGTGGTACTTGGAGTGTTGACTAGATGGACGAACAGGCACACAGACAGATGCATAGACGAGCGCACGGATGGCTGCACTGACGGATGGATGCTTGGACGAACGCAGGGATGGACGTGCGGACGCACGACCAGACGCACGCATGGACGGGCGGATGGACGCACGGAAGCAAGAACGAATGGACGGACGGATGCTTCGCCCCACTCTCCATCATTCACCCCGTGGATATGCTGCCATTTTTTTCTGTAATCGGCAGGCTCGCGGCCGCCACTCCAATAGCAATAACGAGCTTCGCTCCTAAAACCTCGAGATAAACACTGTTACTAAGCTCACATGAATGTGTAGCATGTTCACATGCAGGCAGAAGACGCTTACTGCCCACTGGAGGTTCAGTCATGCAGACTGGTTATACCCAGTCAGATCGGTCGCTAGTGCTATGCAACATGGAACAATGCTACATCGTTGAAAACTTATTCGGTTGAGGCATCGCGATTTATAGCGATTCACATTAAGATCTTGTAATAAATTTCTCAGTCGACGCGAAGAGCATTAATCGGCATGAAAATGATTTTTAGGACTTGCTTTACCTGCTCAATGCATTTATATACAAAATCGTCAAAACCTTTTCAGGATCCCTTTGTGGGGACCGAAAAAAAGTTTTTGTAGTAGCTTGCGACGGAAACTTTACTAGTCAGTGCCTTTTTATGAAATGGTAACATGGAAAACTGCCATAAAAAATTTATAATCAGAATACTTTTCATATGCTACAAAGAGTGGACAGTGAGCACAACAGGGTTTCTTGTATGTGCACTGCGGTTTGCTGCACATGGATGCACTCCACATGCAGGTGCTACAGCTCGTCATGTTCCAATAGTTTCCGTGAATGCTGTGCGGCTTCTCAGCATAAACTCTTATTTCTTAAGCAGTAGAACATCAAGAGGCAATCGATTGATAGATATAAAGCACAATTGATAGATATAAATTCTACTAAGCTCTTAAAAATGAAGCTTGAATTTGTTACTACAGTTTACAATCTGTAGGCAATCGATTGATAACAACATCAAGAGGCAACATCAAGAGGCAATCGATTGATAGATATAAAGCACAATTGATAGATATAAATTCTACTAAGCTCGTAAAAATGAAGCTTGAATTCGTTACTACAGTTTACAATCTTTTCATTATTACCAAGATTGAAACACGCATTTTGTTGAGTTGCTCGTCTCTTTAGCAAGTCCCCAAAACAGTCGTGATAAATTTTCACAAATTTTTTATGAATTCCTGAGTAAATCTTATGGATAAATGACAGAACAATCTAGAAGTAGAGGGCCTCATTAGACGGGCCTTATAATTGTATCGTGTTACTGTTTGCACATAAAACCTTGAGAATGTCTTTTTTCTTTTTTTTTTTCTTGTGCTATCATCTCTGTTTTCCTGAGACATGTGCATTTCCCTGAACGTATTTCCTGGTTATTTATGCATCTTTTTTAAACTTACTGACTGGTCGCACATTCCTGCATTTCCGTTGCGCAGTACAAGGTCCCAACACCTGGCAAGAAGAATGGCACTGTGAGCCCATCGGGCTCTCAGGGCTCAAAGGAGGGTGGCAGTGGCAGGGTCCCTGCGGTCAACCGAAATCACCAGAGGACAAAGTCGTCTCCATCGACGCTGGACACGAATGGGGCAACCACAAACAAGGCAAAGAAGCCGACTGTAAGGTAGGCATCGTAACACTTTCGTTGCCTCTCAAAGGTGCACATATAAGTGCAGCTTTGTGCCTGAAACATTGTAATATTAAAGTTGCATCTGATGCTAAAGTAGCTTTCCTGTGTCTGGAAATTCATTATGAATGTACATCTCCAACGCTGTATTAACTACACAACTGTTGTTTGTTTACTCTGTTGCATCAGTTACATATGTAACGTTCAAAAAATATTCATTTTCATCACACTGAGGTTTGAGTGTGATGTTACACTGAGGCATGATAATGTACAGTACAGACTGGCTTTAAACGCCCTGCACGCTTAGTCATATCAAACAAATGAGGTATGGGGCAAGAACATGCAGGCTGTACTCGTTTGCATAGATTTCTGCCTTGCGCGTCACGCAAAATTGTTTTTCAATAATGCAGAAGTGTTTCTATTGTGTATGCTTCTTTACTGTGACATGAGAACCTAAATGGGCCCTTTGACACTTTTTCGTCTCAAATCTGCAGCACTGGAGTTCATGTAGTGCCGAATATTGAGATGAACACAAAAGAAATTATCGAAATTGGTACACGGTAGCAGGAGTTATTACCCGTCAGACTTCAGAACCCCAGCAGATGACTAGAAAGAAACACCCTTTATCGCATATCGCTTTCCCACTGATGTCAAAAGCCATTTCCAATTGCCGCATCCCTCTTACAGAGACATACCGGTTGATTCACTTCACAGTGGCTGTCGTGTAGTGCTGCTAGTGTTGTTTCGCAATTGTTTTCACATTTTCATATTTGAAAAGAGAAATCTTTTCGTTTCTAAGAAAGTATAAAGAGGGCTTTTATAATTTATAGCGCACAATAGTTTGACACATTTGGGACCTTATAAATATTACATGCTACTTGTCGTGTTCACTCTTGTAAAACGCATGACCATTATTGTCACTTCTGGTCACAAAAAATAGCCGTCGTTTGTTGCTCTAGTATGACAATAGTGCAGTATCTCCTTTGAAATAAAATTATAAGACCTCTTTATTTATGTTGCTGCTCCGCAACAATATCGGTGCATTCCGTAGTTTGAGAAGAAGTGATGAAAGCTAAACGCTTAATTTGTGTCGTACAGCCCTTTTAGGGAACACTAAAGAAATAAACTATTATAGATAAACTACATATAAAAGCAAGGCGGGAACGGTGTAGGCCTGTGTGTTCAGATTTGGGCACACGTGAAGGAACCCCAGGTGGTCAATATTTTCGAAGCCCTCCACTTCGGTGTCTCTCATAATCATATGGTGGTTTTGGGACGGTAAACTCCACATATCATCATCATCATCAAACTATAAAAGCAATACTTCCCTGTTTGCTGTAACAAGACATTCGCTAAGCTAGAAAATGTGCAAAAAGAAAATGCAGGTCTCCGCGCCTCTCAAAGATTCCCGCATCAATCACCATGACGTCATAGATTTTGACAATGTCTACTAGAGCTCGTGTAGCTTCTAATACGTGAAAGTGAAGTACATTGTTCTCTGAAAGGGCAAGAGGCCAACTCCGGCAATTTTTTTACCATGTCAGGGTAATGGGGCTTTTATTTCCTGAGACACTCTTGCCACGCGCTTGACAGCCAAAATTCTAAACAAATCTGAATATAATTTTTAATTAGCGAAACAAAAAAAATGCAACACCGAAACCCGAGTGCGCTTTTACATATGACATAAAACTTTGCCAGAACTTGCCTGGTTGAGCATAACGCCGCCAGAAGGCACTACTTGTTCAGGCCTTTCAATTTTGTGCCTGCAGCGATCGGCTAAAACACTTGCGCTGTTATGGTGAATATATGGCGAATCGTGTGCGGCCCACAACGCAACACCACTTACCACCCATCACATGCCCACCAACACGGAAAAGGAAATCAGACGCTCAACCAAGGAAGTGCCAGCCAAACCCACACAATGCATGGCAGACAAGCAGACGCTGCAGTGGCACATCAGTTCTGTCACTTCCGCTTTTCAACATTGAACGTCACACACACAATATTGCCATTAATTCTGGCCAGCGAAGTGAGCATTTGGAGGCCAGCTGTCAAACTCATTTGAAAAGAATCTGTGAAATTCTCAAATCTGCAATTCGGCATGAATGGTGCAAATGTGCTAATGAACGTACCCAGTGAATTTCATTGAGATCCATTGACCTAGAAAAATCGCTGCCAGAGTTGGTCTTTAACATACCAAGTTCTGTGAAATTTTGTTGTGCAACTGTCGCTAAAATACAAAAAGTGCACATTGAAATCTGCTACGTCATACATGGAATTCCTTCGCAATATGGAAAACAAATCAAATTTGATCTTAATTTACGTTTATACAACAATTTTCTGACACATATTCAGAATGTTACGATTCAGGCAACATAGATTTAAACTTCAACGCTACATCTGTTTTTTTTATCTTCTACGGACGTGCAAGAGGTGCGCAGTTTCATCCTAAATTTAAACAATAGTAGCACTTGTGGTGTCGATAGCTTGCAAATTAGATCTGTTAAACATGTTGCAGACTTAATCACGTTTCCGCTGACACACATATTTAACTTAATCTTGTCCAGTGGAACATTTCCCCAGAGAATGCAAATTCCGAAAATTGTCTTGATACTTAAAGGTGGGGACAAAAATGTCTTTAAGAACTATCGGCCTATTTCAATTCTGCCAGTTTTTTCTAAAGTCATCGAGAAACTTTTACACTTTAGGCTATCCAGTTAACTTTCTAAACACTCGTTACTTGGCAACTTTCAACATGGTTTCAGAAAACACTGCTCTACTGAAACTGCTTTGCTAAAACAAAAAGAAACAATATTACATAATTTCTCGGATCACTGCTTAAATTTAGGAATTTTTATTGACTTATCGAAGGCGTTTGATTTATTAAGTCATAGAATTTCGCTCAGTAAGTTGCATTCCTACGGTATAAACGGCATTGCTCATAACCTCATGTCGTCTTATCTAAGCCACCGAAAATAGCATGTTTCCCTTGTTGACTTCCACTCTGAACTTAAGTGCATTAAGGCTGGAGTCCCCCAGGGAAGCATACTAGGGCCTCTGCTGCTCTCCATATATGTGAATGACTTGCAGTACGCTGTCTCACACCCCCGAATATCCCTTATTTGCTACGCAGATGACACAACCCTGTTAGTGACTAGTAAGAAAACCGAAGATATAGAAAAAATTTGCGCAGATGTTTTACCACTTCTACTTTCCTGGACTGAGAAAAATACTCTGGTAATCAATATTCAAAAGACTAAAGCAGTACTGTTCCGACCGAAAAATACCACAGCTGTTCTGCCTCACGTCTGTCTGCCTTGGTCAATGTAAAATAGAAATAGTTGAATTTATGAAGGTGTTAGGAGTGTACTTTTCGAGTAATCTCACGTGAGATTACCATGTTAATGAAATACACAAAAACTTTGCAAAACAATTGGACTAATCAATAGAAATAGATACCTACTGCCTGAGCGCATAAAGCTCTTCTTATACCATTCTTTAATCTCCCCGCAGCTTGGTTACGCGCACCTACTTTGGGGAACAACAACAAAAAAGAATATTAACAAGTTGTTACTTTTACAGAAAAGGGCAATGAGAGTGGTAGCAAATGTTTCTTTTTATTCTCACACCCAGAAATTGTTTGATCAGTACCGAGTAATGACCTTAAGTCATCTTTACGACTACCGTTTGACGCTGTCTTACTGCGTGGCAAATAAGAAGAATAACTCATTTTATAATGACCTATCGATGCTACAAAAGAAATCTCACTGGCACGATACACGTTTCCCAGAAACGGGGTCTGTTCCAACGCCGCAGAATAACTATGCTTCTCAATCGATAGCTTATACACTGCCCCATCTATTGGATAAATTTACAGATAACGCTATTGATATATATCGCCTGCCAAATAACCGCTTGAAAAGCGTATTTTTGTCGCCTGACTGTGTTATTTCTGAAATTATATATGTCGCCCACCAAACAACCGTTTACTAAGCGTATTTTCTGCTGCCTGACTATGTTATTTCTAATTGTGTGCGATCCGTATATTGTTATTATTTGTGTTGATGCACACTTTTGAAATGAATTTGACCATGAACTGTCTTATCTCAGAGAACGTTTTGATTGTAGGTATCAGTGTTTCTTGGTGGTGTTGATTTTTTGGTATTTTCGTGGGTCATTTGCGATCATCTCTGCGTACAGTACTGCTATTTCTGTTTATTTTGTGCCACTGATGACTCTGCGATTCTTTGGTGTGTTTTCCAAAACTGTCAGTTCAGGGGCGTCCGCCTCGTCAAGCTACTTCTCACAGTAGCTTTTTGCGGCCGCTCCATCCTTTTATGGAAAAGGAAAATAAAGATTTCATTTGATTTGATTTGAGTTATTCTCTAATAATGAACCCGTGATGGTGTAATTCAAGTAATTAGTCGATTAATGTCATTAGATTCATTAACATCTGTGCAATTTAACAATCAAAACTGATTGATTTTTTTATTTAGTCTCCTTTTAAGAGTAAGCCTAACAATGCATTGGACATTGGCTCAAGCATTGGTTCACTTTGTTGTGATGCCCATCAATTCATTACGATACATGTGGGTCCTGACAGTTCACTTCAGCAGAGCTACTTTTCTAGAAACTTGGCATTTTGACGGTTGAGATGTGAACAGCCTCCGTTGTACTGTGTCACTGTGTCTTTGTTGTGCACGTGTTGATTAGAGAGTGGCAGTTGCGGGCATTGAATGAAGATCATAGTCAGTTCTTTTTCATTCCCCGTATATGATGATCATGTCTATACGTCCATCATTTTGATGCCGAGGGCTGGTCATCTATGTTGAGATTATAAATAGTGTTGCTCAGAGCTGCTAGTAACCATGTCACAATTATCACTGAACTCTCTCTTAATTAAATGGTAAAGTATGCTGTAAATTGTATTTGCAACATTACATTTGTGAAGTTGTTGCTGTATTTTATTTTATTTATTTTTGATTGTTGTTTTAATCACTATGTAGTTAAGTCACTTGGTGCTGCTGCAAATAGAATCAGATTGAGCATAAATATGACAGCATCTGGGAACAGAGTTTGTTGCCTTCCAATTTCAATTCCATCTCTCTTTTTTTTTTTTTCAGCCGTCGAGTGAAGCAGCTGCCTGCTCCTGTTAAACCGAAACAGCTCAAGCCTGTGAATGTTATGAAGTTCAAGGAAAAGTTTCCCAACCACGTCAGCAGCCCATATAGGTCAGGCAGTCGTCTCACTTACATTGCTGAATGTGACTTCATTATGCTCGTACCTCGATGCCTCCCTGAAGAAGCTGCCGATACTCTCAGTTCATGATATTCCACCCTGGTCACACCATACAACTAGACCCACGGACGGTTACTTCAGTGGCATTGAGGGCACCCTGCAACTCAAGGCTCATGTTGGCATGTTAGCCATATTATTGCATTCACGAATGCATTTACACTTTCCTATTTCAAGCATCACTGAATCACTTGGCAGTTTTGTCTCACATAGCAAGTGAGCCAAATGAGTATGGGGTGAGTTCATTGAGTTCATGCCAGCGGATTATCATAGAGTACGTGTGCCATGGTGTGCCGATGGGGTGTGCATATAAACAATCAGCAGCAGCTAGTGTATCCGAAAATGAAAAAGAATAGACCATGTTCTCAAGGACATGATGGGTGGCAATGTAACTTATAGTAGGCAAATTGCCTCTTTGCTGTTGCCAGCACGTGTTAGCCCTTTGAAGTTGTAAAAGAGAAAGGAAAGTCTTTTTTTGTGCACTGGCATCAATTATATGTGAAGGATATGAAAAATTTTTGTGGCAGGCAATTCGCGATGCAACAGAGTCTAAAAGATGGACAAGAAGGCAGTGCCTGTAGGCTATAGCACCTGTATTGTCTGTTTTTTCCAAATACCTGTCCATATTTTGGGCTCTTTTGCAATGCATCCAGTAGTAAGTGTAAATTCAAATAAGGAAGAAGTTCAGTGAAGATGAAAGCGTGAATCTATGAAAAATATTTGAACAGTGGGTGTCGTTGGAGCGAACATTTTGACACATGGTCTCATCATCAAGGAAGCCGCTGCCTACTTTCGCACGTGTATGCGTATGTCCCATGCACTCTCAAATTTTTTCACAAACAGTGCACTACAATACAGGACAGCTCGCTAATATTAGATCAAATTAGTAGAGTGCAGACATGGCAAAAAAGTGACTGAAAGCATTGGCACACCGTTTGACTTGGCAGCTCAAAACTGTGAGGATGTCAAATTTTACGTATTCAAAAGAGTACGACATCCGGCAAGTTGGTGTTGCTCATTGCTGGTTTTGTCGCTTGTTCTTTCTGCATCCTTGTCTTTTCACACTGCTCTTCACCTTTAAGTTTATGTATCCCGGTCAAAATTCCAGTCTCTGAGAAAGAGAAAATATAGAGAGTCATGCCATATATTCACAAGCATAATAGACTCCAGCCAATAGTTATAAGCATCTCAAAGGGCAATCGTCAGATATGGTAGATACGCAATGAGAACCCGTGAAACTTGAGCCATTCGTCTACGAATTTCCAACTGTTCTTATTGCCGTCCAACTATGAAATCAGTATCACTGTTAGGGAACCTCACTGTTAGGTTATTCTTACTTTTGGCAGCCATCATTCATTGAAATACCCAACCTCCCTTTCTACCCTTTGGCTTGTTCCTTAATGTTTACCGAATGCTTCCGCTTTCCTTTTACTCACCCAACTCGGCACGCCAGCTTCTTTTTTCCTCATCCACGTGTCTGCCCTTGGCCTCTCCTCCCATTCTGTTTTGGTTGTGGGAGAGTGTATGAAGTGTACACATTCAAAATGGGCAGTTGGTGCTTGAAGAAAAGGCCAGTTCACTAAACGTTGGCTCCGGCGCCAACTCATATTCAGAGATTTTTCTTCTAATAGTAGGGTTATTTCGGGAAAATGACATAATTTAGAAAGGCGTCCAAGGACCCCTTTAAAGAGCCTCTAAACCACTCGGAGTTTAAAATTTGGTTGTGGTGTTGCAGTTGCACACGGGTCTACAGTAAAAACATGGAAGTTTTTCCAAACAATGCCGTATTAGCAGAGTTGCACCCGTTTGATAATACAAAAGAGGTCCTCGCTCGTTTCACATTTTCCTTAGCTGTGATCCATTCGTCAGCCTGTCTCTCATCCTGGCCTAGTGCTCCTTTTCACCCTGCAAGGAGGAAAAGATGAGAGCACACATACGTCTGGGCGGACAAACAGTTACTGTGGTTGGCAAGCAGAAGAAAATGTTTACGTAGTGGCAAACGATGAGAGGCTTGGGATTATTGAAACGCCCTGAAAGGAGAAGGGATTGTTTGTGCGAATTTGTGGGCCGCCCGGGGCTCGTAGCACTGCCGCATTTGGTATTGTTTATCTGACGACCTTCTGAACTCAGTGTGCATGTTTACTTGAAAAGTTGCAGTTATCTAACGTGGTTTGGGGGCACTTCAGGGCAGCAAAACCTTGTGTAGGGAAGCACATTAATTGTTGATGTTTACAGTATGAAAAAAAGAACTGTTTACAATCGTGTGGCAAAACTTAATGCAAGCAATTACTATGACCAACAGTAGTGGCTAAGTATACTTGGTTGAACTTCAGATTTGGTTTGTGATTTGATTGTTAGTGATATAACCAGTTACAATGAGGACATAGGCGGCTACAGATCTGCTGTGCATGTTGCTATGACATTCAATGCCTGTTGCACCTAAAAGCTTGCCAGCATGTCGTTTATTTATTGCGACAACTATGATGGTAGAGCATGTTGGTAATAATTACCTGCCGGTCTGCCGTGCAAATCGCACTCTTTATCTTATGTGACATTGATGTTTGGTCACTCGAAACTCTACTCTATGTGCAGGAAACTCCAACTTGAAACGTTAACATTTCTGTTGCACCAGATTGGCATAATTCAGAAAACGGGTGCCTGCTAAGTAATGATTTACCACACTGTAATAAAGCTTCACTCAGACAACAGATGGTAACAGTCTTATTTGTATCACCACCACCGACACTGACCACTTCATAATGCATTGATTGCTCCAGTAAAAACGTTCTTAAATGGCACTGTTAAAGGTGACTAAACCTTGAAACTGTTCTTACATTTTTCACAAACCAATGTAGCCATCGTCACATGTTCTTCTGAATATTAAAAGACCGTTGTAAGCATTCTGCTTAAAGTGCATAATTTACCATAAGCCATTAAACATATGCATTTCTATAGATCATATCGCGGTGCTGTGCCAAGTTTGCAGGCACTTCTTTTTCGAGACGGGGCATCGTTTTGTGACGTCACTTGTGCGACCACACTGATTGGCTTCTAGCATTTGTAATGAAGCAACAAAAAAAAAAAAGCAACAAGTATGGTACGTTGTGGGCCCAGTGATCGACCAGACAAACACTGAGTGGGAGTGGCGTGATTTACTGGGTGCTGGGTTCTCGGTTTCATTTGCATTCAGGTATACTTCCGATGACAGTTATGATCCATTCAAGAAGGCCGACATGCAGATGCGAGAATTGATGCGAGGTTCCACCCTGACAACCAAGAACCCCAGGACGGTTCCCGGAGTGCGAACGGGTGGCTTAAGTAACAGCATAAATGGAAACCTGAGCGACTCCGCCAGCTACACGAGTACCAACAGGTGAGGAATCCCGCACGAAGGACTTTCTCCTGCTGAATAGCCTTGCTCTCTTTGTCTTGTTGAATCAGCTGTTCTTGAGTAGCTTCTTCGTTTTCTCAACACTACCTGCATGTTTGGGGATTCTATTGGTGGTGTCTAGTCGCATTACATTTCCAGGAAAGTGCACTTGTGGAAATTCTGGTTTCTGTTGCATCCAGACACGTGGCAACCTCAGTTGCTATACATATATGTATTCTTGAAAAGCATCAAGCCGAGTGTTCTTGCTGCACTTCCAAGGGTTTGTGTTCATATCTGCGAGAGCGAAGGCTAAATTTTCACGTTGTTTAAACCTTCTTTTTTTTAATTTAGTATTAAATTGTCATTCTGTCTCTGTTTTCATCGGCTTAGGTCGTCAGTACTTTTATTTGAAAACTGTTGGGTGTTGGCATTGTATGTGCTCATTGCTGAGGACTATGGCACTGGCAGATTGACACTGTCAAAATGGCAAGAGCATTGAAGGCACACTGGAAGGCTGCTGTTCTTGGGTTGTAGGGTCGGAGTGACATAGGCCAATTACAGATGTCATCAATTGGAAAGCTAGCCAGCCCATGCAGGCCATGATTAATAAATGGAATTGCCACTACAGGAAGTTTTTGGAGGCAACTTTTCCAACAACTTCCAATCCTTTATTGTGCTGTTGTTCTTGGCCCTTTTCAGTATATTACCACTACGTTAGCCCACTATTTATAAACACACCTTGATTCAAGGTTTTTTATTGACTCAGCTGCATGTAAAGATCCTGCTGTACTGATCTCTGCAGAACTCCTCAGCGATATTAACCACATTGTCCATAGTGGCGTGACATTGCCATCCTTGTCTCCTAGCGCATTCACCTGGTTTTTGCCTGTGAATAGTTTTCATCACTTTTAGGCTTCGTTCATTTTTAGACCTTGTACAATTCTCTCCATATTGTGCCTTCTTATGTTGACTTCATTAAGTGCACCAATTGACTTTAAAAGCTCTGCCTGCTCTATTGTGTCAGTTGGCTTCAAGGCTTTCGTGTTACGTCTTACTGGTGCCTACCTACAGAGCAAACACCTGGAGGCCTATGAGGAGGATTCAGCTTGAATTAAGGATGATGGTGGCACTGAGTAGTGGAAAGGGTATTGACAGGTATAACTTAAGGGACAAGAAACCAGCGGAGTCGGTCAGAGAACAAAAAGGTGTTAAGGACATCTTAGCCGAAATCAAGATGAAGAAATGGGCATGGGCAGGACATGTAGCATGAAGGCAGGATAACCACTGTTCATGAAGAGTAACAAACTAGATGCAAAGAAAAGGCATGAGTGCGAGGAGGAGACAGAAAATTAGGTGAACAGGTAAAATTAAGAAGTTAGTGGGAATAATTTGGCCACAAAAAGCACAGGGCCGGGTCGATTGGCAAAACATGGAAGAGGCCTTTGCCCTGCAGTGGGCGTTGTCAGACAGATGATGATTGTGGCAACTTGAAAAGTCTTGGCATTACTCTGTTGATTAGGTATTTAATGTACTTCCTCAAATGCTTGGAAATGAGTGTGTTAACATTTTATGAAGGATGACTTGGATGACTTGTTAGCTTTACATGAATGGCATTACTAGGTTTCTGTTCTGCATCTGTCGCATTGCCTAGATGGGTGAAATCAAAAGAAGTGTCCATTATTATTAGAGTGACACAACATGCATGAACTCAAGTGCTCAGCTCTTGTTTTCTATTGATAAAGTGATTGACTTCCTAGTGGAACCCATTCCAGGAGGAGAGAACTTTCACGTGACATTTAAACCTGTTATCGGTTCATCTGGGCAGTAGCTACACAATATTGCCATGCTGTCTTGGTGGCAGAAGAAGAGAGCATAGAGGTTAGTGGCTGCTGTGGCCGAGTAAGCAGTCGTTTGCGTCGAGTTTCTGTTCGTCGTTTTCTCTCGCAACAGACTGGTGGAGGTGCTGGGTGATGTCATATGTCATATATCTGTTAGTCGTGAACCAGAAGCAGCCAAAACTTGTGCACTAGGGTCTGCTGACATCCATCGAACCAGCCGTCGCCTTCAAGGACTACCTCCACAGTACGGCCACTTGGCAAGTTCCGTGAGGAAAACGTTTGCCACAGCTGCAACCCAAACCGAGCATGACCCATTCGCTGGCATACTCGATGTCATTAACACGCCTCGTATGCCCAATCCATTCCACTGTGATTCCAGTGAGGATGTGGAAGACTGGCTTGACCATTACGACCAGGTCGCTGCCATCAATGACTGGGACTGTTGCCGTTAGTTGAAAAACGTCTACATCGCACATTGTTAGCTCCACTTGAATTCTGAATTATGATGGATACTATTGCACCTCTTCATTCATGAAATCTATTCACAACTTTACTCTGATGGACATGTCAACATGAAATGGTTTTTATAGGTTTTCGTACTTCTATAGCGAAATTGCTTGAAATTCCATGACTTCTCTACAGTGATGCTGATGAATTGTGCTGTACTGGATGTTTTTCGCTTTCCTCACCGCTGTCCTTGTTTTTGCAAGCAAGGATGTAGGCCTAGTCAGGAAAGAGTTTCGTCTGTTTCCTTTTGCCTCTTCTCGGTGGCATGTAACTGTTGTGTACACATGCCAGAATAAAGTATTATTATTATTATTATTGTCTCCCTCATAGACGCAGCAAGAGTGTGGTACGAGAACCATGAAGCTTCATTCACGGGTTGGCAAGAATTTTATTGGTAGCTGAGCAGGCACTTTCTTCGTGGTTTCAAATGCCGAACAAGAGCATCATCATGTTTGCTAAAGAGATGTCGCGATTGTTTTGACGGGCTAGCCCCCTCATTCCGGAGGAAAAGAAGTTGCTCTTTTAATGTGAGGTGTAAAAAACCAGCTTTTCGCAGGCCTTGTATGCAACCCTCCTACGATGGTGTCGGAGTTCATACGTGAGGCCACAGTTATGGAGTGCATGGTGTAGCAGCTGTTGTCACAGTATGAGCGTCAGGCAGCCATGTCCTCTGCATGCTCACTTGTGCCAGGGTCTGATGGCAGGGAGGTTCTCACAGAACTCATATGTCAGGTAGTACGTGAAGAACACCAGAAATCTCGTGCAGCATCCCCTCCGAGTATCGTTGCTCTTATCGACGTCGTTCGAAACGAAATTAGGTAGCTCGTTCATTTCTTCCCACTATTACAAGCCAAACCTCCCATGCTCTCCTACATGGATGCCCTGCACGTCTCTACGCCATAGACGACACGTTTTGTTCATCCACCTGCTGGCGCCCCTCGATGTTTTCCGAGCCCAGCCCAGTGCCCAGCTTTACCGGCCAATTTTTATCGACTCATTGTATGACATGTTCTTTTGCATTTCTGAAATGCTTTATTACTCATATTAACGAGATTCCTTTTCTGACAAGAAGCTTGCCTAGGGTCAGTTTGCACAGAGTTTGAAGGACTGGCGTGGCTCAGTGTTAGAATCCTGGGGTGGCACGCAGGGGAACCAAGTTTGAGTCCCCATGGTGTCATTGGTGTTTTTTTTATTTAGTTAGCTTTTCTCATGTTTCGTGCTATAGTGGTTATGCACTGCGGCGGCGGCTCACAACTACGGCGCACGCAACCCTTGTTCTGATCTCATAACAGCTTTCTCTGTAAAAACTAAGACTAAGCACTTTGTGTTTTGCTCTTTCTTTGGTCTCTCTGTTGTGTGCTGTTCATTTTTAAGAGTTTCGGAGTTTTTAAGAGATACACTCATACGTGTATCTAACTAAATCAGAAGAAAAATGGATCTCATAACTTAAATTTTTTTATGTCCACTGTCGTGATAATATTGCTTTTCAAAAACTCCTTTATTCATCTTGAGTTTTCAATCTTTAAAAATCTTTAAGAATTTTTGGCTGCCTTTGGAGAAACACTTGGTATGTATAGTAAGATTCAGGCAATTCGGGCTAGCTAGTGCATATTGTTTCCTTGTGCGTGTGTCTTCAGTCTCTCTTTTGTATGTTTCTTTTGCACTGTTTCGCTTTAAAAAATGTATATGTGGAACTTTGCCATCGTCAATGTAATGCCTCGGCGTGTAGCATCATAAGCCAAGCAGTGAATGGGCCTATTTAACTGTACTCACATGCCTCTGCATTAGCTGCTCTGCGTCACTCAATGTGGCATACTAGTTGCGAAAGCATCGCATCCCATCACTTGTCACTTCCTTTCTAGAGAAAAATTAAGGCAACTTCGCACCGAGCTTGAAGAAAGTATAGCACTGGAAGGCCTGCCCTGTTTTTCTTCATTTGTCTCTTTCTATCCCTTTTCTCTGTTTATTTCTATTTCTGTCTTTATTTTCCTATGTCTTTTTCCTTCATTCTGTTTCTTTTCCTATTTCTATCTATTTCTTTCTTTTTATTTATTATTTATCTGTCCGTGTTGTTCTCTCCTTTTGTCTATCTTATTGTCGTTAATTGTCGGTTTCTTTCTATATTTTTGTCTCTTTCTATTTCTTTTTGTCTTTCTTCTCTTCTACCTTACCTTCTTTTTCTCTCCTTCTCTGTCTTTGTACTCGTTTTCTCGCCCATATAAGCTACTGCACCCCACACTGGACGATTGGCGCACACGTCCTGGGAGCAGAGCAGAAAATGGAGAAGAGAACGAAGAGAGCGCATGCCCATTCATGATAACAGTTTTCTGTTCACTCTGTATGGATTAATGGTCGGCTTAAGCAACTCCACCATTCAAATGACTATGAAACTGTAGTACAATTGGAAAATACCTTGCCGGGCTTTGTAGTATGCACGGTTTCGAAGTGAGCCTTTAGTAGAGTGCTCTGTGTAAATGCCAGGGGCTGTCATACCTTGCAAAGAAAGAAAAACTGCACAAACGGTACAATAAGGCAGTGACTGGTAACACGATCCTTAAACCCATTGATGTGTAATAGGTGCTTCCAGTAAACCAATTGAATGTGTTCAGTTTATACTTTATGATGAATCATACATCTTGCTGCCAACCTAAGAGGGTGAGTCCAAAAGGAGATTTCTGGTTGGTGTGAATTATCTTTCTAATAATGGCAGCATTTTGCTTTTTATTCTTTCTCTCATAGTAGTAGCCTACAAGGCTGAAATTGCAGTTTTTTCAGCATCTTCCCTTGGCTTACATCATCAAAGCCACATGAATCTTTGAAATGGTTGGGTCTGGAATGCAGTTTTTCAATAGAGTATGGCATATTATCCGAGTAACCGGCTATGTTAGGGAAGTTCATTGTTTCAGTACAAGCATAACATTCGGACATTGATTTAGCATTGCCACCAGGTTTCTGTAATAAATTTTAGAATAATATATTTATATGTCAAGTGTGTATAGTATAGGGCCTCACTGAATGATGGGTTGCATTCTTTTTGTTGCTGTGTTGTCTTTTCTTCCCTCGTTGGTGAGAAATGTTCCTGCTTTCCTCAGTGGATCCGAGAACAAGCTGGACGAAGAAATGAACTACCTCAACGCAAAGTTTGCCGAGCTCTCGAGGCCAGGATTCACAGGGGAGTTCAAAAACAAGTGAGTGTGCATCGTAGTACGTACAAGCAATGTTGCTGCATTACTCCAATGTGTGAGCAGGTGCTTCTTCCTGTAATAAGGAATAGGCATGCATGCCTGTCCATCGTTGTCTTGTAGGGTGAAAGCGCAATTAAGTTTAGAATAATGTAAATGAGAGTAAGGAAATGGGGGAGGTGGTAAAAACAAAAGTGCGCAATAATTTTTCGTCTTTAGTGTGTATGCATGTGAACAGCAAGAAAAGGCAAATAAAGCTGGTTTTCGCCTGAAATTGTATACTGAGATCATTTGCAAGAATAAATCAAGTTTTATGGACAATTTGTCCATCTGGCACAGGTATTCCATTATGCATTGCAAGACTATTTACACGGTTGTCTACTTACCCATGTATGAACAGGTCAATGATGATGAGTGTTCAATTCCAGTTAAACCAGCTCTGAAGTGACAATGTCACATCATAATTTTTCGTTAAATGGCAGTCTCAGTCACCTATAACTCAACAAAAATATGCTTGAAAGTGTATGAGAAGCATTCTCAATAATTTGTTATCATAATACTCATTCCTACAAACAAATCTCACTACCCGCGACAGTGGTCTAGTGGCCAAGGCACTCGGCTGCTGACCCTCAGGTCATGGGATCAAATCCCAGCCGCAGCAGCTGCGTTTTCGATGAAGGTGAAAATGCTTAAGGCCCGTGTGCTTGCTTCAATTTAGGTGCACGTCAAAGAACCTCAGGGGGTTGAAATTTCCAGAGCTCTCCGCTAAGGCCTCTCTCATATTCATATGGTAGTTTTGGGAAGTTAATACCCAACAATTATTATTACTAAACAAATCTCACTACCTGTGTCCAATAGCAGATGCAATATTTCATGATATTAGATCATTAGATGGATTATAACAAGACACAGTAGCTTTATTACTCAATTACGAACGCTGATATTGCTGCCGCACACAGGCAGAACTCGAAGAGAGACAGACATCGCTCATGCTTGTCTGTTAAAGGGGCCCCGCAACACTCTTTAAGCATAGTTAAAAAAATGTTGCCGATCGGTAGCTGAAGCTCCTACGAGCGTTCAAGCCACACATTGTAGCGCAGCGCGTGGCAGGAAATTTACAATTAATTCTGGGAATCGGCTACAAATCACTCACTCTTCTCTCAAATAATGATGCCATATACCCAACTCAGGTGTGTCATATATCCCAAAAGTCACGGCCGTTTACTGATTTGGATATTATGAGCTCCTGAGTTAACACAGCCACCACAGTGTGCCACGACATGCCTGTGCACAGCGTTTATAGTGAGCCGTGCACAGTAGGCCGTGCGCAACATTTACATTTCGGCAGCACATGCAAGGAAAAAGAGATAAGAAAGTGCTCCCTGTCATCTGGTCCTTCTCTGTGTACCTTTCAGTGTGGTTGCTGGTGTGAAAGGAGAAAGGAAGCACTTAAATCATGCCACAAATATTTGTAACCTTGCTCGTACTTGATTAATTCGAAGTATTTTTGCTGCAGTCAATTCATGAAGCAATAAATGCTGATAGTGAGGCCATTTCATCATCATCATCAGCAGCAGCAGCCTGACTACGTCCACTGCAGGACAAAGGCCTCTCCCATGTTCCGCCAGTTAACCCGGTCCTGTGCTTGCTGCTGCCAATTTATACCCGCAAACTTCTTAATCTCATCTGCCCACCTAACCTTCTGTCTCCCCCTAACTCGCTTGTCTTCTCTGGGAATCCAGTTAGTTACTCTTAATGACCAGCGGTTATCCTGTCTACGCGCTACATGCCCGGCCCATGTCCATTTCCTCTTCTTTATTTCAACTATGATATCCTTAACCCCCGTTTGTCCCCTAATTCACTCTGCTCTCTTCTTGTCTCTTAAGGTTACACCTACCATTTTTCTTTCCATTGCTCGCTGCGTCGTCCTCAATTTAAGCTGAACCCTCTTTGTAAGTCTCCAGGTTTCTGCTCCGTAGCTAAGTACCGGCAAGATACAGCTGTTATATACCTTCCTCTTGAGGGATAGTGGCAATCTACCTGTCATAATTTGAGAGTGCTTGCCAAATGAGATCCACCTCATGCTTATTCTTCTAGTTACTTCAATCACGTGGTTCGGCTCCGCGGTTATTACCTGCCCTAAGTAGACATTGTCTTTTACAACTTGAAGTGCACTATTACCTATCTCGAAGCGCTGCTCCTTTCCGGGGTTGTTGTACATTACTTTCGTTTTCTGCAGATTAATTTTAAGACCCACCTTTCTGCTCTCCTTGTCTAACTCCGTAATCATGAGTTGCAATTCGTCCCCTGAGTTACTCAGCAATGCAATGTCATCGGCAAAGCGCAGGTTACTAAGGTATTCTCCATTAACTCTTATCCCTAACTGTTCCCATTCTAGGCTTCTGAAAGCCTCCTGTAAGCACGTGGTAAATAGCATTGGGGAGATTGTGTCCCCCTGCCTTACACCCTTCTTGATTGGTATTCTGTTGCTTTCTTTATGAACCACTATGGTAGCAGTTGATCCCCTGTAGATTTCTTCCAGAATGTTTATATTGCCACCTGGTGTTCTGTGCCAGTGAACAGTGGGTCAGTTCTGTGCCGGTGAACGAAAAAAGACGAAGACGAGCAACCCGTGCCAGCGGAGACGTCTTTCTTGGTCTCTGAGATTTTTGACAGTCGCGTCCCTTTATACGTTCCTTCAAGCTCTTAGCACGTGACAACTGGTGGAGGTACTGGGTACCCTATGCACCGAACCCCTCCTAGTACAAGAAGCTCCAGCCCCATACCGGTGGTTACGCCTGTTCACCGTGCTAGCCGCAGGATCCGTGGACTGGACCCTGAGTTCGGACTTCTCTCTGAAGAGATGACGGCCCCAACTATTCCAGGCAGCGCCGTCCCAAGCGGCTCCAACCCAGCCGGTATGGAAGGCGCAACGCCATCGCAATATACACTCTTCAAACCAAAAACACCGAATCCCTTTCATGGTGCTGTCCATGAGGATGTTGAAGATTGGCTACTCCACTATGACTTCGTTGCCGCTCATAACATGTGGGATGACACAGACAAGCTCCGACATGTCTACTTCAGTTTGAATGACGGGGCACGGGTTTGGTACGAAAACCGGGCAGGTGTGTTCACGTCATGGGTGGACTTCAAACGCCGGCTTCTTGAAACGTATGCAAGTCCCGATCGCCGAGAGCGAGCCGAACGTGAACTCCAGTGCCGTATGCAAATGCCAAATGAAGGCGTAGCAATGTATGTTGAGGACATGACGCGTCTTTTTCGACGAGCCGACCCTCACATGCCGGAAGAGAAGAAGGTGCGTTACCTGATGCGTGGAGTGAAGGAGCAGTTGTTCGGTGGTCTTGTACGCAGCCCCCCCCAAGACTACGTCAGAGTTTCTTGCTGAAGCCGTCCTGATTGAAAGCACGCTTCGGCAACGGACCCAGACGTACGAGCGACAAGTGAACTTTGCTTCTGCTACGGACTACATGGGTGGTCTTGGGGCCCACGTCGACTTCTTCCGAGAGCTCATACGCTCCGTAATTCGCGAAGAACTGCAGAAGTTATCTGCACCCTCAGCGCCCACTGTCAGTTCTTTGTCCGGCATCGTCCGAGATGAAGTTCAGCAGGCACTACGAGAACCGTCCTGTCAGACAGAGCCGCGGCCCTTAAATGACTTCCCTCGCATGTCGTATGCGCAAACTCTGCTCCAGCCAGCACCACCTTTGGCTCCGCTTCCCACCGCGGCCCCTGCCATGCTTCCGGCAGACCAAACTCTGCGCCAACCTGCACCACATTTCACTCCGCCTTATACCACAGCCCCAGCCATGCTTCAGGCAGTCCAAGCGGGCCCGTACCTCAGTGACCGCCGACCGATTCCGCGAAAATCAGACGTGTGGCGGGCCCCCGATCGACGTCCTCTTTGCTATCACTGTGGTGAACCTGGGCACATCTACCGACAGTGCACTTATCGACAGCTGGGACTTCGTGGTTTTTCGGCCAACTCCCCACCTCCTAGGTTCGGCCAGCGGCCTCCGGAAATCGCTGACTACGTTGCTCAGCAGCGCGGATCGACATCTCGGCACCACTCACGCTCTCCATCACCGCGGCGGTTCTCGCCGAATCATCGCACCTATGCGGGCGTGGCGCAGGGCCGGTCACCTAGCCCGCGTCGGGAAAACTAGCCTCAGCGACCTTCAGGGGCAAGGCCGCTCAGACTGGTCATGCTCAAGGCCCCCTATCGACGCGGACTGAAGATACCGACGATACATCGACAACGACACCACCGGCTGATTGCGGAAGAGTTTCCTTAGATATTCCTGTTCTGCTAGATGGTCGCGAAGTCAGCGCTTTAGTGGACACTGGTGCGGACTATTCCATAATTAGCGAAAAGCTGGCCGCCCTTCTCAAGAAAGTAACGACGCCTTGGAACCGAACGCCAATTCGTACAGCTGGCGGGCATATCGTCACGCCACTCGGTATGTGCACGGCAAGACTGCAAGTCCGCGGTTGTACATTTGTTGCTAGTTTAAGCGTTCTCCGGCAGTGTTCTCGAGACCTGATCATCGGCATGGATTTTCTCAGGGAGCATGGTGCTATAATTGACATTCGACGACGTCTAGTCACTTTCGCGACCACAAACGCCACAACAGCTTACGCCGACCCCAGCCACTCCCGAGTGTCTCTTCGCGTCGTCGACGACGCTGTCACGTTACCACCCCGTGCAACTGTTGTGGTTCAGGTGGCGTGGGACGGAGTGATGCACGGTGAAGCAGTCGTAGAAAGCAATCACTTGCTTTTGCTGTCTCAGGGTGTCTGCGTAGCGAGAAGCCTTGTTGACCTTCGTGATGATCACTGCAACGTTTTTGTCACAAACTTCAGCTACGAGCACCGGCACCTTTTTCCTGGAACTGTCATCGCCTACGCCGACCCAGTCGCCAATGTTACCGAGTGTTTTGCTTCCGAGGCCATCGGCACTGCTGAAACGCCTTTCCGCAGCGTCG